AAGAGAAGAGAAGAGAAGAGAAGAGAAGAGAAGAGAAGAGAAGAGAAAGGAACCTTGGAGGACATCTAGTCCAACCCACCGCTCAAACAGGAAACCCTATACCAGTCCAGAGAAGCGGCTGTCCAATCTTTTCTTAAAAACCTCCAATGACGCAGCACCTGCAGCAACTTCTCAAGGGAAGCCGCCATTCCACTGGTTGATGGTTCCCAATAGGAACTTTCGGCTTAATTCCAGGTTGCTTCTCTCTTTGATTAGTTTCCATCCGTTGCTTCTCGTCCTGACTTCAGATCCTTTGGAAAATAGGTTGACGGCTCCCCCTCCCCCCTCCTCTTTGTGGCAGACCCTCAAATACTGGAATCCTGCTATCATGTCCCCCCCCCCATCCCCCGCCAGTCCTTCTTTTCTCCCGACTGGCCAAACCCAGTTCCTACAACCATTCCTCGTGTGTTTCTGTCTCCAGGGCCTTTAATGGTCTTAGTCGCTTTTCCTTGCACTTTTTCTGCACTTTTCCTAGATGAGAAGCGCAAAGTTTTCAAAGGGAAACAAACAAACAAAAAATAAGAAACTCCATTTTCCCTTTGTGGAAAAAAAAACATCTTTGGGACAGTCATGACCTGGATAATGGAGCATTTCCACAGCCATAACATACAGAAGAAGTGGAAAAAAATGGGTGGGGGGTAGGATTGTTTCTTGTGAACTAGGGCAAGGAAGCAGTGTCAGGATTCCGGCACTTAACCCCAATTAAATCAGGACTCTCCAGCCAAACTTCCTCAATTGCAAAAGGATTTATTGGGAATTAACATGCCGGCACTGCCTGGGTGTAGCCGAGCCTGAGACACATCATTCATTGTCACCCCTGACCCCGGTTTTTCCCCACCCCCTGGCTGTATCATAATTCATATTCTCCAATGGGACACCTCCATAGCCCAGAATCATCAATCGTGCTCTCCAGTTAGCTATTTACAGGGCAGAAACTTTGGTCACCTAGTTACTATCTTTGAAAAAACATTTATGGAATGCGCTTTCGGTTTGCAAGCTGCCGCTCTGCTCCCCGCTCCCTTTCTGTTCTATCTTTTGATTCACTTGCTGAATATAAAGACAGGCAGAATAGCTCTACAAATTCTTCCATACAAAGTTACTTTTCTTGGATTATATTAGGTATCCTCAAGGTAACTCACCGTTATGTGGAGATGCATCTAACGTCCAATTCTTTGCAGAGTTTGAAACCATAGTATAAAATGATAGTAATCTTTCGATCCCATATTTCATCCCATAGTAGTAGCGATGCTAGCACGAGGCTAAGTTCAGGCAAGAGTAAAGAAAACCTCTCCCAACCCACCAAGGGTCAATTCAGTGACCAATCAGGGTTACAGATGCGGTCACGTGACATGAACTACATTTCCCAGCATACCTTAACTACATTTATCATGATGCATTCCCTTAAGGGGACAGCTCACAATTCCAAAGCCTAACCCTAACTATCCCAAATCCCATTAACTCTAAACTGTCTGGACAGCACACTTACTCCTGGCAAGTCTAAAAAGACCATAGAAATACTTTATGAGTTGACATAGAGGACTCCTCAAGGGAACGGAGATGACCCCCTCTGAGAAATCTTTCCCAGATAATTCAGATGCCTTGAAGTTTCTTTCCTGGGGGGTCATTCTGCTTCCTGGAGAGTCAGCCCCCCTCACCACCCCATCCTCCATCCACAAGCTTACTTTTCCATTGGAATCCTTCGGCTGCAGATCAAAGGCCCGGATGATGTAAACCCTCACGAGACACTCCTGGGGGCCTCGGGCTGGAAGCTGGTGGAACTGGCGTGGAGGGACGGGCACCGTGGGGTCATCAGGAAGAGGGTAGATCTTGAACGAGCCCTGCAAGTAGAGGAAAAGGTGTGAGTCTTCCAGCAAGGCAAGCCTGTTTGCTTGGACGTCTGTCTGGCAGCTCCATGCTGGAGCCAGCTGTGGTCCAGATGCTGCAGAGAGACTCCTGAAGGATGCTGGGATCATCTCTGGTACGGCTGCTACAGAGGCTGCCTTCTCTCAGAGAGCATCCCTAGCATAATTTGTATTGTAGTGTATTGATTTTATTAGTTTAGTCTATTATTTATTTTATTTTTGTTCAGTTTGGTGTTTTTAGTTTGGTTTGGTTTAGGTTTTAGTGATGGGCCAAACCTTGAATTCTCCAACAACGGTGGGATCCTCGTTGTCATCCTGAGCTTTGCCACGGGACAACTTAAAGGTGTGGCAGAAATCCGAAAGGCCTCCGAAGTCTTCGATGTTCTCCAACTCTGTCTCGTAGATCTAAGAAGGAGAAGGAGATGGAAAGCATTGCGTTTCTTCTTTCTTCTCCTCAGATGTTTGAAGGGAAAGAGAAGCCCCGCCTCCGATCTGTTGCCATCTTCCCACTTCTCTCAAGAAAGATGACCAACAGTTGAGGGTGAACCCCATAAGACAAGCCCTTTCCGTTTAGAGCAAAACTTCCCCTAGATCTCCCAGCTTGAATGCTGCTGGGAACCTGCTAGCAAGGCTGGAAGGAGGAGTCAAGCAAGGACCTAGCTTAGAATCCTTACAAAGTTGCAAGAGGCGTAAGCCTGACCTCCCCGTTCAGCCTAGCTGGCAGTTTCCCCACAGTTGCCCTCTCTAGGAAAAGACACAACAGATCTTGAAGGCCACTGAGAGGTACCCAAGAGGTTCCTGGAAGGATGTAATATGATGGGCATATTAAGTCCAGCATCTCCCTGACCATTTACCTGGGCCAGCATCTACCTGAGCATTTGTGCAAGACTTCCTTAACGGAGGAACAGAGGAATCAAAACTGGATCAGCCAAAGGTCCAACTATGTCTAACATTTTGTTCCAGTCTTCAAAAGTCTGTGGAGCAACTCTATGACCAGGAGAGGCACCCACAAGGGCAGCCTGGAAATTACCCCAAGGTGCATCAAGAAGACAATTGGACTAGTTAACTCTTAAGTAACAGTGTCCAAATTTGGGGAAAACAGAGGTGTGGTGGAAAATGGCCAACAGCTGGTAGGTTCTTGCAGGTGCTGGATCCAAAATGGAAGGCCAGTGACCTCTGTTGGTGGCCAGGACATCTTAATATTGAGAGCCAGTGTGACCCAGCCAAAGTTTGATTCTGCTGGCCACTCAGTGTTGTGATTCTTGAGCTAATCAGAGGCCCAGATGTCTTATGAAGTTCAGTCCTAGAAGGAGGTCAAGACATTCCTAGCAAAGAACCCCAGAGGTGACAAGGTGCATCTCCAAAGCAATGGCTCTCATGTCCCCCTCCCTCCCTCCCTCTCACACTCTTTTTGCCCCTCTTTCTCCCTCTCCTTCTCTTTCTTCTCTCTCTCTCTTTCTCCTCTCTCTCTCTTTCTCCTTCTCACTCTTTCTACCTTTCTCTATCTCTTTTCCTTTTTCTCCCTTTTTCTCTCTTTCTCCCTCCCTCTCTCCCCTCTCTCTTTCCCCCTTTCTCTCTCTTCCTCTCTCTCTCCTCTCTCTTTCTCCTCTCTCT